TTGTGTTTGTTTGTTCCCATATTTCTTGCCAGATTTTGTTTATATGAGTCTTGAATAAAGTTTTAGTATCTGATATTGGTATACCTGTTGTAGTCTCAATGTTCACATTGTTTATTGCTTCAAACGCTGTTTTGTCTGCTAGCTCATTACCAGTTATTTCGACATGGGATGGAACCCACATACATGATACGGTTTTTCCAGAAAATGGAAGCTATTGCAACGCGTCTTTAATTAGAAACAGATTGATGTGTGTAGGATAGACATGTTTAATGGTTTGAAACAGAAGACATGTTTAAACAGATTCAAGAAAAGAATTTTTTGAATCTGATAATATAAGTATTTGTTTTTCATTTGTGGTTTTACAATAATTTAGTTCGTTAAGTATTGCTTGAGGCTCTGCGGTATAAATGTTACAGCCGTCGGTTAATCTCGTGGCAGAAATTACGTTTTCTGATACAGTAGCAGCTATTACTCCGTTGCAATCTTTGGGGTTTCAGTGAAGAACAATTGGAAAGTGGATTATTTAAGTAAATTTGCATGATTCTGAAGCCTGACCTCAGCAGAAATGTGTGAATGCTTATCATGATTAAGTGAGGAGAGGTATATTGGTAAAAAAACTGTCCAGGGGGGTGTCTGGTATATTTTTATGGGTGCCAAGGTAATTCGATTGATATAATACGGTAGTCTTTTAACTCGTTCAAAAAATGGTACTGTCTTGGTAGTGTAATTTGTGTATTATTGTAGTGATTTTACACTTGCGAGAAAGGTATGATCTTTCGCTTAGAATTTTTAAAGCGTAGCATAGTGATATATATATATATATATATATATATATATATATATATATATATAATATATATATATATATATATATATATAATATATATATATATATAATATATATATATATATATATAATATATATATATATATATATATATATATATATTGTCTTTTAAGGCTTCTTATTGAAGTAGTTCTAAAGGCTCCAAAGATTAGTCGTAGAGATGTCACATAAAAATACTTTATTACCTATATAAAAAATAACATAGCACAATAAATAAATAATACGTTTTCTTAATAATAATTGTTTGTTTTAGGGCAATGAAATAGTAAATATATTGCACAGGATGCCAACCAAATCGATATCGGAAGAATGTCTAAAAGAGGTTGGTATAAAAAGCTACTTTAGTGAATTTCCAATAAATTGCTAAATTAATTAATTTATTATTATTATACTACTGTGAAAATGATATTTTTTGGCCATGACTCAGACCCTCATTATAAGAAAGCTTTTCTTTCTTAAATCAAAGGCATCACTGACAAAAATCGACAAATTTCTTAGGGAAATAAAAACATTATTCACTCCCCCCGCCCCCCACAAAAACTTTTCATCTCTTGTCTGATTAATCAAATGTATTGAATTCCAAACAAACAGCATGGAATTTATTAATTCCTTGTGAAGACTGTCCCGATCCTACATAGGTAGGCCAAACAAATCGTAGAATCCAAACTCATACACGGCAAGCCAGCCAATGTATCCTGGTAGTTCCACGACTGAAGTTTAAGGTATTTTGCGCAACCCACAATACAAAGTGTCAATAGATAAAAGCAAGTAGTAGTAAGGAAATCTTGAGTAATATTAGAGATTTGACTAACCTCAGTGTTGACCAGATATTTCACGTTGCAAAAGATAGGGAAGCATTTAAAGAAGGAATCGTCAATCTTCGTTAAAAGATGACACGAAAAGAAGAAGACTTTATTTCTTCTTTTCGAAGAAATAAAGAAAAGAAAACTTATATTTCTTTCATGAATCACATCATTAAAAAGATGTCTTTCAAGCAGCCTTGTTTCCTTTGCTTCTTAGATTTTATGATTATCTTTCTCGATATTTGTTCAGTTTTTTTTTTATATTGTTTTAATTTCTGCATCATAATTTTAAGAATTTCGTTAATAGATCGATTGTACTGGGAGAAATTTTTTATGCCCTTCCATATAGTCTGTAATTTAAGTATTACTTCCTTTGAAATGACAAGTGTTATAATATGTTGTTTATTTTTGTAGCTACAAACGTTTATGATCCAAATCCACGTCCGGCCTGTAGAAATATCTGCTTCTGGATACTTCACATTGGACAAACGACAAATTTTAAATGTAAGTTGCAATAAAGTATTTTTTTGTATATGAAAAATCTAATAATTTATTATTAAATCCTCTCAATATTAAACTGCGTACTCGATATATAAGGTCTTACATTGTCTTCTGTTGGTTTTAGTTTATTGCCCATATTAAACGCCACAAAGCACTAAATTTTGGAAAACAGTTCAAGAGAATCTCATTTTTGGTGCCATAGAAACGTTCTTAAATCTTCATTTATGTTATTTCTACCGTTAAAATCTTCTGATGATCGTGTAAATTCATCCTGTTGAATCATCCATATTCCTTATATTTCTATCTTCACTAATTTGATGCATTTTTATTTAGGGTAGTAATAATTCAACTCATTTGTTAATTTTTATTAAGATTTTACAATAAATTTAAATAAAAAAATTCTATGTACATAACCATAAAGCTACAATTAGACCCTAAATAACTAATTTCATTAATAATAAAATTAGTTTTATTCTCAAAAGTTTTTATAAATCACAAAATAAAATACGCCACGGTATTCCTAATAATTCAAAACTTTCATCTTCTTACTATGAAGCTTAATAAAATTTTAAAATAGGCAACAATACAAAAAATTCATGGTGTGAATACCCGAGATGTATTGAATAGCGGTTTTTATGCTTTTAAAGTGGATTTGCGCATGCAGTACAGTCGTAGAAATGACAGTTGTTGGAATGACTTCATATATTCAATTATTTTTCTTTATATATTCATCAAGAAAGAAACTGAAATACAGTATTTACCATACAGGAGCATAAATGTTCAATGTTGATTAAATGTAGGTAACGAATAATACATACAACGGGGAAACTGACGATTCTAGAATGGATTTATTCACGCGACATAACCGTATGGCTTATTTATTTCTCAAATGTATTTCTCGAACTATTAAAACGACTATGGCCATTGTTTAAGTTGTAAATTGGTATCAACAAAAAGGCCTATTGATTGTAAAACTCCTTGTTCTCCTTGTAAAAATTCTCAAAATGTATATGATCTAGCTACATACGACTTTTAACTGTTGGTCAATGTCAAAACTAAAAGAAAGGATAATTTCAGTTGTAATGGAATTTGGAGAAGTGGACTGAGCAGCTAAAATGGTCACAATAGAACAAAAAGGGCTCGTATATTCAAAAATGTATTAGATAATCCGCCAAATTAACCTGATCTAGCATTATGTGACTTTGATGTATTCGTCAACGTCAAAAATACATTTAAAAAATAAACTACTTCAGAGCTTTAAGGTTCTACAAGAAAACTAGGTGTTGCTCATAAAATAAATTACAGAAGACGTCCAGCATAGACTAATGCTGGTAGGTTAGACTGCTCAATTATCAAACTCTAACTAACAACCGTAGTCTATTGCAAAAAAAAACAATTTTGACAAGCAAAAAGTGTGTACTAAAATGTTGCTTAAAATTTTCGCAATCGAATAAAAACAAACTTATATTTTCCCGAATTCGTTACCCCGGCCAACTTGTTCGCCTGATTTGACATCATGTTACATTCATGTGCTCTTTAAGTTAAAACCTACAGTAGATATATAGTTTTTTTGATTTTTATCATTTAAAAAGAAAACGCTACACATGATATGAATGAGTTTATAAAAGAAGGCTTCCAAAACTTTTTATGAGATGAAAAAATGACATTGAACATTGTAGGGTTAAGGGAAACCTGTATATTGAAGCAAAAAATAAATATGTATCAATAGAAACGCATGCAAGATTAGGTAGTCTCCTGTAATCTGTCATTTGTACACACAAAAGCTTAAACGTTAGGGAACAGAAAGCTATTTTCCAATTAAAATTTTCACTGTGCAATTGATTGTAAGAGTCTAGGAGACTCTTGTCATAGGGTGTAAGAGATTAATAAGAATCGGAAAGCTAAAACGTGGTAAAAATGTTGTCAGTAGACTAATACATCCACAATTCCTTCACTAATTTCATTTTTGACCACTGATAATAAAGAATATGTAGTTTGCTTCACTACCAGCTGTCATCTCCAAATTAGTCTCCCGTAAACTGTCATTTGTCAACACAAAAGCTTAAAGGTAAGCTAGAGAATAGAAAAATATTTTCCAATCAAAAATTTCAATGCGTAATTGATTGTAAGGGTCGGAAAAGTATCGCAAAACTAAAACGTGGTAAAATTGTTTTCAACAGAATTAGAAATCCACATTTCCTTCGTTAATGTCATTTTTTAAACTGACAACACAGAACATGTATTTCGCCTTCACTGTCAGTTGTCATGTCAAAAATGAAAACTAGAGGCGTGACTTTCCATGCTTTTTCCAAACAATTTCTCACATTTTATAGACACAATCCCTACTAAAGCTGCCAATATAGAATATGTATAATTGCCTGCTGCCATAAAAAATTAATTTGATGATGAATGCAACTTACAAAAGTCACAAAGTTTGTTCTGTCCATAATACAAACGATTTGAAATCAAAACGAAAATAAAAACTATAAAAAACGTCATTAAATAAATCACAAAAAAACTTAAATGACTTTTTTAACGAATTACTGGTTGCCTACATTGGCACTAATAAAACTTTAGTTCGAAAGTAGGCATTCAGTAATACAGAGAGTTCTTTTGAATAATTTTATCGAACTTTTAGCATTAAACGATCATTTCTTAACAAATGTGCAAGTATTGCATACAAAGATCATTGTTTGACTAATCTGGGAGCGTTTCCTCGAAAAACCTTTGAACTTATTAATTTTTGTAAAAACTTCGATTGAAACGAATTATAAAAACCTTCGAGATCTTTTTTCGTTTAGAATATTCGTAAAATCAAATAAAATTAAGTATCTCTATTACGCAAAATCTCATACAGTCGACGTTCGTCTACAATTAATAATAGACAGCAACCGTTTGCACATCTTCCGTTTCTTTGGCTTCGGTTTGTACCATTTTACGCTATAATAAATAACGATGAGGGATAGAAAGACGAGGAGAGTGAGGGTGAGGTCGAAATTTTCGTTCTTGTTGGCGATGGTGGTCGGTTTGTTGCGCCAGCTCCATTCGATGAACTCCCCTTTGCTGTCCAGGCCCGATGCGTCTGGAAATGAAATCAATCTGATTTTAATTAATAGAAGTACCAAGGGTGTGCGGAATATTATGTAAAAAAAAAACAAACAATTTTATTTGTACCTGTTATTTGTACTCAATTACTATATTTGAGTATTCAATTGCATAATAATATTTCTTCGTTAGAACCAATTGCTTCAATTAATTCATTGTACCCCCTATAGTTTATTTTTATGAACGAGAGAGTAATTAGCATAATTTTAACTGGTACCTCCGACCATTCCATGGGCGTGCTCAAGATTAATTGAAAAATTACTTTGAATAATTGTAAAAAATAAATGAATTATGTCAGTGTTATAAAGTGTTATGTGTATGTAAACAAAAGTGACCTCTTTTATCACACACTATATTAGAACTGACTGACCTACATTAAAAAGGGTTTTAAAAAATTCACATTTTTTTTTTAATTTTTAAAAATTACAAAAGAGAAAAAGAGTTTTTAAAACCGTCTAAGGTATGTTAAATAGATGAATAAAAATATTAATATAAAACTTACAGCTACTTGTTACAAATCCAAATCAGATTCAGAAGATGAACTTTCAGAACCAAGATTTATAATAACTGGCTCGATCATTTTATCAGTAATATTGTCCAGCTTCCACATTTTTTCCTCTTCTTTAATAGTGTGATTTACTGCCTTTTCCAAGTTTTCAGGTTTTACATTATTTACGGCCTTCAAAAACAACTGTTTAACATCATGAATTTTAAAAGTGGTATTTTTTCTTGAAACTTCACTCTTTATCTGTGCCCATACCAGTTCAATCGGCTTTAATTCACAATGATATGGTATTTCGTATTTTTTAAACTTTTCTTTATGAAGGGCACACAACGAATAATATCTTATAGATCCGAGATGGTACGTAATATTTTTTGAACTCAGCCAATTCTGCAAGTCTTTTTTTAACCACTTGGTTGTGGGCAGTCCTTCTATAAGTCTGGAGTGATAACTTGCATTATCCATTACTATTACACAGTTCTTAGGAAGACGATCTATCATTTGTTCGAACCATTCTTGAAAGACATCAGCGTTCATGTCTTCATGGTAGTCACCGGTACGAGTTGATTCAAAAGTTAATAAACCACCTTCAACAAAACCGTCTGAACTGCCAATGTGTACTATTATCAGCCTGCGTCCCTTTCCTGATGGTGGGTTTAATCCAGTAGATAAGTTATTTACAAAAGCGTGCCTTTGACTTGTAACAGTTTCATCCTGACAAAATTTATTTGGTGTATGACCCTCGTTGATCCATGTTTCATCAAGATAAAATATTTTTCTTTTTTGGTTTCTCATTTCCTTGATGGTTCTTAGAAAATGTCTTCTCCATATGACAATATCGCTTCTTTCTAATAAAATAGACTTTCTGGGATTCTTTTTCCAGCGGAAGCCTATTTCTTTTAAAAGTTTCCATAACGTACTTCGACTCATTTCTGGCAATCCTTATCATCTCGAACTGAGACAAGAACTTTATCCAATGTTGGAAATTCTTGTCTAAAGAAGAATTCATGCACTTTCCGTCGAAGTCCTTCTTTAAAATGATATTCTATTTGAAATTTTGGTTTCTCTGGAGCATTACGAGGCATTTGAAAACTACCACATTTCTCTTCTTTAATAACTTTGTAAATCGTAATTTCCCAACACCAAGTGTACTGCTAACTAACTCAACGGTCTCATCATCACTTTCACATAAACGTTTGTCTGTAAATGATTTAAAACAATTAAATATTAATGTTTTTTCATTAACTGTTAAAGAACCAATTTTTCAGCGTTTACACGGCACTTCCAAATTTTCCATAACACTAGTATACACAATAAACTGCACCTTGCAACTGAAGTACCTACTTTTAGTGAACTGTTAAGAATTTTGAATACGCCACTTGGACCTTGCTACAAAATGGAAAAACCCACTATCACATTTTCTGTGGAATAAGTTTAGAAGGTAATTATCTAGTCAATTACTGTCGTAGATTCCTGGAATTAAAGAATTAAATGTTTGATTGTTGAAACCCTTACTTCGTGGAATGCACTCATTTCAGATAAAATAAAACGTTTTATTTTATCAAAAGAATTAAACTTTATTTTGCAAATAGGTAGGTATTTATTTAACTTTTATTATACTTCTGTAAACTTGTTGACAAATATCTGTTTTTCATTGAGTCACCCGTATCAACAGTTTAGGGATTTGCATACATAATTTATTGTTTTATTACTCTCTCATACATAAAAATACACTATAGTTAGTTTTATCAAAATTAAAAATTTGTGGTATACTCGAACATTCAGAAATATCCCATCTCTATCTGACACATTTTCAAAGTGATTCACCAGACCACTACCTATGTGAACTTTCTTGCTATAAAGAATAGTAGACGAAAGGACCGATAGTTATTTTATACAGCCAAAAGACAGTAGTGACTACTCAGTATACTGTGAACATAGTGATCTAGTGGATCGATGGTTCAAACGTTGGCTGGCCAGAACACAAAAAGTTTTCTAGAGCAAAGGTAATCAATAATCAGTACGGCAAGAGACGGTTGTTTGTGACTGAGTGTTACTCACTGCATAGATCCATAAAGGACGAGCGAATCCGAAAAAAAAAACGAAATATACATAGAAATGTCCAGGAACTGACTCAACTACCAGTACAAAATAATAGAGATGGGACAAAAACTCATGGTTCTTTTTGATGATTCGACTCCATTGTTTCTATCATCTCTCTTTCGCTTCTAGCTATGATATCAACATCATCTGCAAATGCCAATATTTGTACACTTTTTGTTATTATTGTTCCTCTGGTGTTGACTTTTGGCTCTCTAATTATTTTCTCTAATGTGATGTTGAATAGAATACAGGATAGGGCATCTCCCTGTCGTATGATCATTCTCACATGGATTGTATCTATTAGTTCGTTTTGAATTCGAATTTTGCTTTGTACTTTAAGTGTTTGTTTTTACTATATCAATGAGTTGAGTTGGAATATTAAACTCTTTCAGAGCATGGATCAGAAATGCTCGATGGATGCTATCATGGGCACTTTCAAAATCAATGAAAAGATGATGTGTGTCTATATTAAATTCACTAGTCTTTTCCAAGATTTGCCTCAAGACGAAATTAGTTCGTGTATCGCATTCAATAGGGAGTCTCCACCTGCCTTTATTATTTCTGCGCTAATGTTGTCTAATCCGGGTGACTTGCTGTTTTTCAGTCTGGAAACTGCTTCTTGCATTTCAGCTACTGAGGGGAGGAGGGGAGGTTGTTTCTCTGGTATCCGTTTGAAACAGTATAATTCCATCATATAGTGGATCTTCGTTTTTTTTTTTTTTCAAAACTTCTCTTTGAAGAATTCTACCTATTTTTGTAGTTTTTCACTCTGTTGAGTTACTATATCTCTTTCTTTCTCTCTGCACATCATTGTTCTTGGTTTATATTCTTTTCTACTTTTGTTAAGTTTTTTTAAGAAGCATTTAATGCGATAGAAAGGGCGGCAGAAAACAGTGGCCTAAACATTAACGCAATAAAAATCAAATACATGAAGGCCAGTAAATCCAAAGAAACCTACAGAATCTGACAATAGTAGACAATAACATCGAAAGCGTGATAAATTTTACATATCTAGGTTCACTAGTTATTGCATATAATAACGTCAGTGACTACAGCATATAATAATGTCAGTAGACTAATTAAACATCTAAGATCTAACAACATCACAAGAAAAACCATATGCAAAATATACAAGACCCTGATAAAACCAGTCCTTTGATATGGATCAGAGACATGGACACTATATATATATATATATATATATATATATATATATATATATATATATATATATATATATATATATATATATATATATATAGTGTCCATATATATATATATATATATATATATATATATATATATATATATATATATATATATATATATAGAACTGATGATGCTTTCAAAACTCGAAAGCGAAACGTCTTCAAAATAGATAAAGTAGCCTATCAACTTTGTCTTTTATTTCTCCACCTAGAGACCGATATAAGAACCCACCACTCGTCTGAGTGATCCTTATATATATATATATATATATATATATATATATATATATATATATATATATATATATATATATATATATATATATATATATATAAGAGGAAACGTTGTTAGCCACCTTTGAAAGAAAAATCTTGCGACACATATATAAGGGCACAAAAGAAAACGGGATTTGGCGGAGAAGGTATAACTTTGAAACTATACAACATATACCAGGATCCGGATATCATAACATTCATTAAAATAGGAAGGCTACGTTGGATTGGACATGTGGAAAGAATGGAAGAAGGCGAAATACCAAACAAAATATTCAAACAAGTGCCAGTAGGAAAAAGAACAAGAGGAAGACCGAAGCTGAGATACGTAGAACAAATAGAAAATGATAATAACAACATTAAAAATTAAAAACTGGAAAAAAAGCACGAAACAGGTCAGAATGGAGAAGAATCCTTGAACAGGCCAAGACCCAAAAAGGGTTGTCGAGCCAGTGATGATGATGATGATAAAAGGGGGTAATGGAAAATGACATATGGTGCAGAAAATAACTTTGAACTATATACAGCATACAATAAACCCAAGGTCATAACATCCACAAAGATCGGACGTCTGCGCTGGATGAGCCATATTGAACGGATGTTGGAGATTGAAACACCAAAACATATAATGAGGCAAATACTAGTAAGGAGAAGATCCAAGAGAAGACCCAAACTTAAAATCCAAAGATTACCAACTGGAAAAAGACCAACAGAATGGCTGAAATCATTTGTAAGTCATTTGTAATAAACTTGTAATATAACCAATAGTCAAAGGTTCATCTTAACTGTATTTTTGAAGGTCGAAGAACTGATTGACTAACCAGGACAAAAAATAGAGGTGGGATAAAAAAAGCGATTCCTTTTGATGATCGAAATGGTTGTTCACTTCCAATTTGACTAAAAGCTTAAAGTTTGTTGTACTTTTATCTAATGCGCGACGTTACTACATCACCAGATTGTAATATATTTGTATAGGTGTCATTTTGGAGTATTATTTTGTGTATCAATGACGATAGAAGTAGTTTTTTCTGTTTTAACAATTCTAAATACAAATATTTATCATTAAATAATGCCATATTTTAATAAAACTATACGTTAATCTTCAGATACAGAGTGTTTTTAAATTACCTTCACAGAACAAACAAAATTTGGCTAATACAGTCTTAACATTTAATAGACATCATTTATCTGTTGTTAAATTCTTACCTTTAATATTATTATCTAGTGGCAGTAGAACATTCACTTCTTCTATTAGCGACAGCAGTTTCTGTGACTGGTAAAGATTGCTAGGTGCAGAAACGTTTAGCGGTACTGGCTGAGTGTAGATCAAATGAGGACAAGGGGGAATGGGTCTAGCTTGAGCTTCGCCTAAGCTTTTTTCTAGTACGTTGGAATACCTAAAAAAGAAAAAGGTTTAGCTCTTATTGATAAATTATTTCGACAAATAGTTATGACCTAAAGTGCTATTTGGTTGATTTTTTTGCCTGTAGGTTGTGATATTAGGAAAACTGTTTTCCTTACCTATAAAGACGATTACCTTCCATTCGATGTGGATTCGCAGTCTCCGTTACACTGTCCCAACTCAATAGTTTATTATCTTTAAACACAGAAGGCATATGAGAGGTAGCGGTGAATTCCAGCATTGCGTCTAACAGCCAGTAGCACGATGTATCCAAATGACTTGAGTCGATACAGTTTGAATCACCGTACACGACTATTCGACCACTTTTCTTGTCTGTGGATTTTGTCTGAGTTAGGCCTAGAATTGGTACAGTGTATTTTGTATTTTCAGGTTCACCCAAGATCTGAAACAGGTTACAAAGTTAAATGAGCATAGATTTGTAGCATCTTTTTGAAAATGATTTTGTTTATGCTGATTACAAATACAAAGTGAAAATTTAAAATCAATGGCGCGGTCAATATTGCCAACCAGTTTACCAAAAAAATCGTATAATCTGGATAAAACAGATGTATATGCTTTTGAGAATTAGGAATATGACGGTAAAATGGTAAAATTCTAAATAGTGGACCCAATATAGCTGAACAAATGTCCAAAACATCCTCTAGCCTGACTAAAAGTGGTGAATCTGTGTTTTGATGAGGAATATATAGCCAAAATGTTAATATAGTCTGGTGTACTCAAAATAACAGACACAATGTTCAAAGAATCATTATAACATAAAAACAAAAAAATTAATATATCCAAAATAAAACAAAAATCCCAAAAATCATCTAATCAAGCTAAAAGAATTGTCTAACTACTAGTTTTGAGATCGCTCATTGCAAATATGAATTAAATATTTTCAAATGTGAAATTGTGATTCAAATATGACAGAGAAAAATTCCAAAAATTATTTAACCTTGCTAACACTGCTGTATCTATGTTTTTGAGGTCGCTGATGAAGCGAAAATGGTAAAATTCGCAATAGTGGACACAAAATGGCCGAGAAACTTTCATCATCTAACCTTAACCATCTAACCATTATCAAAATTAAAAATCATTGTTAATACTTACATCAGTCCCCTGGTCAGTTAGTTCCCTAGCTATCACAACTCCTTCCTTGGGAAAGGTCCTAATACTAGTTCCAGAAGCGTAGTATACATCGTGTTCGTTCAGTTTGAATTTTCCTTCAAACACCCTGTCGCCCAACTGAATGTCCCACGAGGCCAGTAGTTCGTTTATGGCGGGAACGTTGGAACCACCTATAGAGAAATCCACGTTTAGTAGTCCCCAAAGCGATTAAAAGTACTCGAATTAAAGCATAATTAAAATGCACTAAAAACGATACTTTAGATGAATCGGTTCCACGTTAATGATTCATTAAAGGAACCGAATACTTCAATGCATTTATAGGGCTCGGTATTTGACTTCCTAAATACGTATCATAAATATACGGCACCATTACGAATAAATCGGTTATTTGTTGCATTGCTGAGCAATGAAATAATCTCACCACATAAACTTTTCTTATAATAATTGGAACGCATTAAAAAACACGAATAGTGCTAGACCTTACCCTATAGCCAAAATTTTAAGAAAGTAAAGTTTGTCTCAAAGACAGGAAGATTAAAATTGTTCCGGAACTGATTCCAGTATCAAAAAAGTAGAGGTGGGATAAAATATGCAGTTCCTTTTGATGACTCGACTCAATTGTATTGACTCCCAACTTGAATGACTTTATAATAATGAATTTCAAGCCATAAAATGGTAAAAGTCAAAGTATTTCAGATAAAATCATACATGTAGAGTCTCTATATGGAATAATTATCATTGCTTGTTTTTTTCGTCATAAAATTAATTGCTTTTTGATAACTTGAGCACTTTATTGTCCTCGCAACCCATAGGGCCTTCACATATTGCCAACCGATTCAATGCTCAATACAAATAAAGGTGTATTAAAGAGAGTTTGTTTCGACGAGTCGACTACATTGTATCAACTCCCAAATTTAACGTTTTTCAAAATAATTCCTTAATCTCACAAAAGGGCTTAGTTCAAACAATTTATGTTGCTATTTCATAAAATTCGTAAATATAACGTACCTGTATCGGGCATCCACCACTGCCTGGTGTTCTCGTCATAAAACTTGACTTTTTTCATGACGGTCACATTATACCAGTCGGCGAAAACGATAACAGAAAGACCGGCGTCAACATCTCGTTTGAGTTTCATGATCTCTTCGGGAAAAAATTCTTCCTCCGGGTCAACTATCAAAAGCGTGCCATATTGCGATGCGTCGAAACATGTGAATGGGGAACCTGGAATAGATAAGTTAATTTTGTTACAATTAAGAAATGAAATAATTATCTACATCATATTTAAGTAGTAGGTGTCCAAACCCTAACAAAAATCCTACAAATCATAAGCATTTGTAAAATTTTGAAAGATCTTCTATTCGTTGAACGATTGTTCAAGGTCTTGAGCCGAATCGTGCAGGAATCGTTCAATACAGATGATATCAAACAAAAAAAACTAGCGGATGATTACAAAATTGAAATATAGATAGATGATACAATTACAACAGGTGATATAATTTACAATTTTCAAGGAACTCTATCATCATCATTCAGCCCATACTCGTCCACTGCTGAACATAGGCCTCCCGTAGTTCACCCCACAAATTTCTGTCCTGAGCCGCCTGCATCCAATTTTGATGTGTCCGTTTCAGGTCATCCGTCCATCTTGTTGGTGGTCGTCCTCTATTCCTAAAGGCATCTTGTCTGGGTCTCCACTCAAGAATGCGTTTTGTCCATCTGCCGTCCTTCGTTTTCGCGACGTGCCCTGCCCAGTTCTGGACACAGAACCATCACATTGGACATATTGTTTTTAGATTTTAAAATATCACATAAACTTCCGTGGATACCATGTTTGATCCGTGTTGCTGCGTACTGGTTACATTCCACAAGTATATGGTGTACACTTAGACGAAAGTTGCAATATTGGCAGTTTGCAGGTTCTTCGGGAACCATCAGATATCCGTATGTTAGCCGGGTGTGCCCAATTCTTAATTTTCTAATGATGATCTTCGATTTTCTTTCCATTGTAACAATTCTAGGTCCTAATATGTTTGGTTGGATAGACTTTAGTTGGGTAGTGCACCTGTTCCATTGATTGTGCCACATTGAGGTAGATAACTTTTAATTTCAATTATTATGTCTTGAAACATTTGGACTTTTTCATCTGTAAGGTCAGAGCGGCGTGCTTCATTTGTTGCGTGGTCACCATTCTCATTTCCTTTAATACCAACATGTGAAGGATTCCATATCATCGAAACCGAAGAGTGTTTGATTTAGCAAGTGCTGTACATCTTTCGTGGACCTTATTAACTAAAGGATTTGATGTGTAGATTTTTCTAATCGAATTTATGGATGATAATGAATATGTGCAGATTGCTAGAGCTTTAAGTATAGCGTAGAGTTCTGCTGTGAATATACTGGTCATCTTGGGTAGTCGATACATTGCTAGTATGTTATTTGTGGAAGTAACAGCACATCCGACACTTTCTTCGTCTTTAGATGCATCTGGGAATATTAAGTTATCAAACCTGTCTCTATTAATTATGTCGTTAAAAGTTTGTTTCATGAGTACCGTGGAGGTTTCCAGTTTCTTATATCTGCACAAATTTACGTTAAAGTCAGGTGATATTTTTAGCCAAGGTGGAGTATTGGGCTGAATAATGGGGTGGTGAGATTTAGGTCAATATTTTTTAAGAGTGGCAATAGAAACTGTAGTGATGAATTGGCAGTAGTTCAACTGTGTGCTCCTGTTAATTGGAAATTTTTAATACGTTGGAAAGACATATTATTTGGGTTTGCAGAAACCTTAACAAAATAGAAGTTTAATAGACGTTGTCTTCTAATATTTAGAGGGGGTTCACACGATTCGACATATATGCTTTCTGTAGGGCTAGATCTGAAGGCTCCAAGACATATTCTTAATGAAGTGTTGTTAATGAATTGTATCTAGTGATTTTAAATAAGTTTTAGGGGCAGAAATATTTATTAGATCTTATTCGGGCTCTGTATAAACTTAATAGCACTTCTTCTTCGGCTCCCCATTGTCGATTGGCTAGTGATTTTAAGAGATTTATATTTTTTGAAGCACTGGCTTTAGTTTTTTCTATGTCTCTTCCATGTTAATTTTTTGTCGAAAATTACCCCTAAAAATTTGTGATTTTCAACTACTTGTAGTGGATGCTCTTTTAATTTTATGAGTGGAAGAGTTTGTTTATATTTTTTGCCCAAGTTAATCACTTTAGACTTTGTAGACGAGAAGCTGAAACCAATTTTGTTAGACCAGTGAGAGATGTTATCAATAGTATTTTGCAAAAGAGTGCTAGTGGAGCTTGTTACTTTACCCGAACAGTAAATAACTAGATCATCCGCATAGATATTATGTTTGACAGGGGGTTGTACTAAGGAACTAAGGTCGTTAAGAAGCAGTAAAAATAAGGTTGTGCTGAGGACTGATCCTTGAGGTACTCCTGCCTCCAGGAGAGACATTTTACCATTTGCAGAGACTTTGAAACTTCTGTTAGTTAAAAAATTCTCAACAAATAGATTTCCAGATAAATTAGACTCTTTAAGTTTTTCTAGAATTGCCGGCCTTAATGCTGTGTTGAAAGCACTTTCTATATTGAGTGAGACAGTTATAAGTTTGTTTCTATTAGAGAATTCTTTTATGATATCGGATTGAAGAGTTGTTGTTTTTTAAATCACTGTTATTTTTTGTTTTTGTAGTAATTTTTAAGTAATTAAAAGAAATATTTTTTAATTGATCCTCAAATCTTCTCATTTGTTGATGTGTTTTTATTTATAGATACAAATACGAAATTAAGTGAAAAATTTCTGTCCAAACACATAAACATTCAACATTTTTTTAAAAATCATAACAGACTTACCCAGAACTTCCACGTAATATCCAGTGTTTCTCAAGTTTTGATACATATCTTTGAAATTGGTATGAATGTGATCGCCATTCCAATCTAGTGGATCGTTTTTAACCTTGAGATTATCCCTGGGAAAATATCCCGGTGGATACCTCAAGTTGTGGTACTGATCCCACAGTACTCGTTTATTTCGTGGGGGTACGGGGATAATTTTGGCCCTAAAATAAGTTTAAATCTAAGAAAAATAGATGAATTATGATATGGTAAGTTATACAGTATTGGAAGATTCAAAACGGAACATACGAATTATTAATACAATTATTAAGATCCCCTGACCTGCAATTACCCAGTGTAAATTTCAATATAACGTCGCGATGTCTTATAATTAATTCATTTGTTCGACTGGATTGCTACTCCTTGGCGATTTCTAGTAGCGTATTCGACAGTTGTACGTCGACACTGTTGTCTATCGTCCACTGATTTTCTGTGTTTTTGTGCAGATAATAACAATGTTTTATTAATAACATTTTTTTTGTGTTCATTAGATATTATTTGAATTTTTAGTGTATAGTTTAATATATTTATTATTGCAAATATTGTTGATAATTTAAAATTTAAAAGGATGTATATGATACATCAAAATCTACAGATTTTTGCCGAAGGTATCTATCGATTTGGCAACAGTCCCAAGGAACATCACTGGCCGAGCAAAACAAATACATGCCCTTTGCTTTGCTTCTCATTATAACGCCATAAGCTGAAATAAAAGTAGTGTTTCTAACCATAAACCATGTATACAAACAAAGAAAAAGTACAAATTTTAAAATGGTATGATGGAGGCAACTCGTACCGTGATATTATAAATTTATTTACTTGTGCGTATGAAGATAGGCCAATACCGACACAATCAACTATTAGTCGTATTATTAAGGTGCGCACGTGCGCAGCAGTCGAAAAATATCGACTGGAGAAGGAGTCCAGTCGAACAAATGAATTAATTATAAGACATCGCGACGTTATATTGAAATTTACACTGGGTAATTGCAGGTCAGGGGATCTTAAAAATTGTATTAATAATTCGTATGTTCCGTTTTGAATCTTCCAATACTGTATAAACAAGATAAATAGTTATAAGTCATGGAAATATCAAAAACGTAAAAAAAATTGCTGTATATTAGTAAAAATAATAGATAAAAGTAAAAATCTTACCTTATTGGTAACTTCACCATACTCTGTCTAGTCTCCGACTCCCCACTTCCAGGAGGAGACTCTACTGTAACCACCACATGCCCTTGCGCATACCCCTCATACGTTGCTGCCTCTTTAGCTACCGACAAATGTACAGCCAACCATCCCGACCAAGGCCACAGTATCTCCGAGTAAGTGATCCCTACTTCCAGATAATGCCCTTGCTGGGGCGTGTAGGGGTGCCACTGGGGTTTTCCGACGATTTTTCCGGACACGCCCAAGCCGTTCAGGATGGTGACGTTGACTATGACGGGCACCGAGGTGTGGTAGAGGGGTTGCGTACAGTAAGGCCACATGTATGGGCATTCGCTAAGATCGATGTAGCTAGGACTGAGACTTGCCTGGAAATTGAAACAAAAAAATGCGATTTAATGTTTCGTAAAACCACCGGAAATGTGTAAGATATAGTATTAAAAGGTTAAAGCTCACAAAAAGAACAGACTCAAACTTAATTCGCGGCTTCCTGTTTCTATCTCCCTTTCTATACAGTTATTTTTATTCAACCAACTCATTAAACCACATGCAGGTACCGGGTAGGAACTCTTTAAATTCTTGAAGATAGTCCTATCAAGGAAAATGAATCAATCCCTGCCCTCCGCAGACTCCGGGGGTTTCCTGACCCGGCAAACTAGTACCTGTTTAGGGTCCCTTGTCCAGGGTTACGGTTGAAGTCCACAAGGGCAGCCACGGAAGCAAAACTTCGGTACGGTGTGGATGGCGCATAGAAACCGTCATGGCAGTTAATGACAAGCATCACCGTACTTATCATGGTTCTCGGTTCCCCAGATTCGGCAGTTGGAGAAATAATAACGATGGCAGGGCTCTTCAGGTCGTTAATCAACGAAATCCCTAGATCTTAAGTGGCGCATTCACCCCAAAATGTCAATAAAATCTTATTAGATCCCATCTTACCATTATTGCATCTAAACAGTAGTAAAACATACTAAAAAATACCCCAGGTTCCTTTTTCTTATAAAAGTCAACTTGATTATTTAAGTATTACCGCTATCGCCCATGCAAAACATTAAATAAAATATTTGTGGAAATTCTATTCCCATAAAACTCGGCATTGCAAAACATTTACGACTTTTTTGTATTTTAATTCGCCGCTATCTTTGTTTATGTTCTAAATTTTATTGGACAATTATTTAATAGTAAATCCAGATGTTTAAAAAAACAAATATAAATATTTTTTAATTAAAGAAATATTTGGTATCGAAAGATAATTGGATAATAAAATTATTGAAGACAAGTTTACAGATTACACAAATTGATTTTGTTTATGATTTACTTTAATGTCATTATTTACTGTCCTCTTTAGAGGTTTTTGCAATGGAAGTTCAAAAATTACAGAAATGTACCATTTTTTCCTAAAATTTAAAAACACCTGATTTTTTTTTAGTCTCTCGGCTATCTCGTAATTTTTAAAATGAATCAGTTTGCATTTATAGATTTCTTGCTATTAGCACATACTCCGAAACATATTCCTCATAAAAATTGACATATTTTAATAGCACGTTAACTTTAGACTGTCCTTTTTTGTTCGCATAAGAAAAGCCAAAGGATTTTACATGTCTTACAACTTATTCAATTGCCAGTAAACAATAAATAGAGGTGGGAACAAAGAGTTGGTTCCTTTTCATGACTAGACTCGACTGAAATGACTCACAAATTGGACGATTTTACAAAAAATTTGACAAACTTTGCTTAGGCTTTTGTAGAAGGTAATATTGTCTCCTTTTTTATATTTTTTTATAACTCCAGTGTATATAAATAGAATTCTGTCTAATTCAATACTTATATTTTTGTTTTAGATCATCACACAAGTCTCGACTTACCTTATCGTAGTTTGTCAACTAGTGCAAAGCTATTACCAATATAATAACCAGCAGAATTCAAATTCAACTCATATCATAAATATGAATGTAAATTAAGAGCACACTCGACGATGTTTGAGGTATAGAAGAATTTATTTCGACGAAGGCGTGAGAAGAGAAGAAGTTTATATGAGAATGTATATCTTTTAATATCAGTTATTAATACCATTAGAAAAATTATTATTAAACCTTTCTTAGTTGATCTAGTTAAACTATATCGAGCATTCGACTCTCCCTTTGGAGTCTTCATCCGGAATTCTGTCCCCGGATAGATTCACTCTTACATATTCACCATACACTTCCCAACTGGGTCGTTAACAATGAAACAGTCTAGAATAATCTGCAGATAGATGCTAGGATAGAGATAATCTTCAAACAACACAACACAGTCACAAAATAAGTTTTAAATTCTGGCATCACGGCTTTTAACCTTTTTGGTAAATGAAGGATTATCCAAGAAGCCATTGAAATTAAAAGACGTCCTTACTCTCTCAATAAAAGAGAGAAATGCATCCAGTTGCCCTCAATATGGACAGTCCTCAATCATAATATAACACTAACTATTCCTTTATATTATCTCTCATAGAAACTCCACGCTCCTGTCGATAATATAAACATATATGGTGAAATGTGTAAAAATGTGTATGACCTAGGTACTGATGAAGACTACAGAGAATGCCGACGGTTTAACGTAGCAAAATTTGACGTATTGATAAATACTGGAAAAGCTGTATTATGTACTATTAGATTATATTGTATGATAATAAAATTGTATACTAAACTTTTTCTGTGTAATTTTTTAAATAAAAAGTAAATTTGACCTAATAGGCAGATATCGTCCGCATATTCTAGATCGCTTAGGCGTGTGGTTAACGTCCATTATATCCCTCTTGTGTCGGAGTCTAGTTTGGAGAGAACATATTCTAGAGCTATGTTAAAAAGAAACGGAGAAAGCACGCATCCCTGTCTAACTCCAGTAAGTACGTCAAATTCGGCACTGTTGATCCCATTGTGTGTCTCGCTGTATTTCGCATCAGTATATAGTGACTGTATAATAGAAATTATTTTTTGTGGAATGTTTCTTAGCTCTAAAATTTTCCATACAGCAGCGTGAGATAAGCTCACAGTATTAATGTGGTCTATGCAAGAGGATTCTGGTCTAAAGCCTGCTTGATTCGCTCGAAACCCAACCTTGTTTGTTAATCTTTTCAGTATGATGGTCGTGAAAATAGTGAAAATTCTTTGTTGATAATAGTGTTAAAAACAATAAAAAATTTACTCACCTGTGGCGTATAACTATTAAGGATCTGATACGCCTTCATTAAATTCAGTTTCCCGTGTCCCTGTTCGAACATGTTCACTCCCGGTAGCCTCCTCGCCGACGCCATAAGGGCTTGCTTCATACTAGCGGGATTTATGACGTCGCCACGATGCAATACTCCGCTGGCAAGCAAAGTTACCGCTCCCGCTACAACCGGCGAGGCTACACTGGTACCGGAAAGAGTTCGGCAGCCGCCCTTGATATGCGAACCCTTCACTGCTGAGCCGTAAGTGACGATGTCGGGTTTTACTCGACCATATCCTAGAGAAAAAACACAAAATATCTCTACTAACTTAGGACTTAAATGTTAAATGAGTAAAAAGATCGCAAAAAAACAAAAATCAAGCCAAAGAACAATGATATATGATAGATGACATTTGACAAATGACTGGTGACAGATCTAGAAAGACACAAAGGAACTGAAGACACTAACAGTTCAAGGAGAAGCGACAAATATGTTTATAGATGCAATACAAGGCACAAAATAAAAAAAAATATTTGAAAAATTAAACATAAAACATAAACAAAAGCAATTGGAGAAGATGTAAGTAAAATACGAAAGAATCGGACGTTTTTTGCATATGAAATACCTTGCAAACATGTAGATAATAGAGAGGGAAACAAATTAAAAAAGGAAGAAGAAAAAATTTAGAACATAAAGAAAGAACTGACATTTAAAAAGAAACGAGGGAGTCAGCTCAAAAATGAGCATGCGATGAAAATTTGTGTGAAAAGAAAATCATATTAAACGTTTAAAAAATAGACATCAGGCAAGAAATGTACGAAAAATTGTCAAAAAATTTGAACAAATTACAAAGAATACATTTTTTTTAAGTTATTCACACATTTTAGCATTCTAATGCACTTACCGTGTGGTAACTCCCACGTAGTCATGCCTCTCGATGAAAATTTCGCGATTTGGTCTTCGAAATTGATACCGCCCACGCCGATGACGTCCATTTGGTCTGCGGGGTTGTTTAGAGTGCCGTACAATGGCCCGTCGTTGCCTATTGCCGACACCATGATGACTCTGTTGGCTGTAAGTTCCCAAACTTTGTCTACAAATGGATGATCCTAAAAAAGTAAACAGAAAACACCTTCCTGGTAATATTAACGAAATAAAACTTTCTGTGGTTCCCCAAAAGTGTATTTTACTACGTTCATTACAGATAGGCTAATAGGAATAATAAATAGGTAAAAAAAATCCGCTAATAGGGTGCAAGCTTTCGAGAGATTTCTGGGTGGAATACCCCTGAGTCGAATTATGATTGACTCCCAGTTAACAAGAAATAGGAAACCAGGAGAAAGACACATGGCCTTCCTTTTTTTTTAGGAAATAACAAAGTATGGAGAATGCGTTAGCGAGGGATCACTCTCTAACGCAGGGCTTAACAAATTGTATGTAGCGAAGGCTTGGCGAGTTTTTTCTATCAACAACGGACACTGATATTCAAAAGAATAGAAAAAGAAGTGAAGAATCTAGAGAGAGCAGTAATGTTCTCTAATAGTTTAAGTAAAAAGAAGAAATATAGGAAATATGACGACCAATATTTTGATTTTGGATTTGCCTGCGTTACTAAAAGGAATGTAGAACTTCCACAATGTGTTGTTTGTCACAAAATATTAGCGGCTGAAAGTATGTTTCCTAATAAACTACAACGACATTTGGAATTAACTCACAGTCATTTACAAGGTAAGCAAAGAGACTTTTTTGTTAGAAAATTGCGAAAAATAAAACATCAGACCAAGGCTTTCAAAAGCATCAATTCCTACCAAAGCATTGCTCGCCTCTCACATGGTAGCTTACCGTGTTGCCACATGTAAAAAACCACATACGATCGCTGAGGAACTGATTTTACCTGCAGCAGCGGTTGATATAATAACAGTGATGATTGAAAATGTACCTCTTTAAAACAATACGGTCAGTCGCTGTATTCAAGACATGGCAGAAGATATTATTGAGCAAATTGTGAGGAAACAGGTTTATTAGCCGCTCAACTGGACGAGGCGACTGATAGTAATGATGATGCTCAATTGATATGTTATGTACGGTACATACAAGAAACAAATATATGTGACGATTTGTTATTTTGAATAAATATATGTGAAAGTTGTAAAGCTACTGATTTATTCGAGATTTTAAACTTATATATGAATGAAAATAATATTAAATGGGATATCTGTGTAGGCGTGTGTACGAATGGTGCCTGAAAGATGTAGACAGTATGGAGGACTACAAGCTCTGATCAAAACCAAGGCTCCAAGTGTAAAAAGGACACATTGGGTCATACATAGAGCGGCCTTAGCAGCAAATGACGTTACACCTGAATTAAGTGTTGTGATGGATGGCATTATTAAAGTAGTGAACTACATTAAAACAAGACCCGTGACATCAAGACGTTTCCATAAACTTTGTGAAGAAATGGCGGCCGAGCACACCTCTTTAATTTATTATTGCAACTCTCGTTGGCTCTCCAAAGGCAACGTACTTGCACGTGTATATAAATTAAGAAATGAATTGTATACGTATCTACATAGAGAATTACATGATGATGCTCAAAACTTTATTAATTCAGAGTTTACAATAAAAATTAGCATACCTCTGTGACATATTTAACAAATTAAATGATCTTAATAAGTTCTTGCAGGGAAACAATACTCATATCTTGCAATTGGCAGATAAAATTACTTGGTTTCAGAGCAAGTTGATCTTATGGAAGAAAAAATTAGTAGATCAAGAAATTGACTGTTTCCCTGTTTTACAAAGTATTCTACAAGAAAAATCGATAGAAATCCTTGATCCCTCTTTAAAAAATATCTTTACACAACACATGTTATCATTGAGCGGAAACTTTAAGAAACATTTTCGCGAATATATGGAGCAATATGAATGGGTCAGAAACCCTTTCCTGTCATCCACCCCATCGACACTTTCAACAGAGGAAGAAGAACAATTGACAGAATTTTTCTGCGATTCCAGCCTAAAGCTTCAATACGACAAGGACAAACTGTTTGAATTTTGGAGCTCACTTTCTCATGAATATCATGCCATCAGCACTACTGCATTAAGGTTTTATTACCATTTGCGACTTCGTACTTGTGTGAAACGGGCTTTTCTGCAGTTGCGGTAATTAAAAGCAAATACAGGTCAAACATAAATTTAGAAAAAGAAATGAGAGTGGCAATTTCCAAACTGGAGCACCCGATTCATAAGAGCTGCGCTCAAAAAACCAAGCACATCCTCATATTAACCAGTTACATAAATGTAGGAAATATTTCTTACATTAAGTATTTCTTCTCTTCTTTGGGTGCCGTGTCCGTATTCAGACGTTGGCCGTCATCATGTTTACAATTTCCTGAAACCTTTCTCTGTCGGCTGCTGCGCGAAATAATTCTTCTACTGTGAAACCACACCTACATTAAGTATTTAGCATAGTTTTATTCGTTAGTTAGGCCACTGCGAGGTACCACTTAAACCATATTCTTAAGGCGCCACAGACCGGTCGCCATCGCGGGGAAAGGGACAGGAAAAATGTAGACGAAATCACACATTCCTGACCTAAAAGGCATTCGATATTTGGCACTCGCGTTGTGAAGGTTAATTATTGTGCAACACCCGCCGGAAAAGACGAAGCCGAAAGACGAAAACAATTAACGACGGGGGTGTACCTGTAATTTTGTGTACCTGTAAATAACATCATTACAGTTTATTTTTATGTAATAAAGACTTCTCGTATGTATCGCGGACTTAGTTCCCTTTCAAATAATAAAACAACTTAAATAGACCTGCATAAATATCCCTTTTCATGTTTGTGCCTGTTTTGATTTCGTTCTTAATTTCTAATAAAAAATATAAATGTTCAAACAGTGTTTTTGTTATAGCTATAACCTGTTACTAGACTAGTACTAAAATTGGTAAGTATTATTGGGGGTTGGGTTGAGGGGAAGTCGCAAAAAATAGCAAAGTCCCAAGGGCGTCACAGTACGAATAAGTTTGGGAAGCCCTACTCTAATGGGAGGATGATAAAATAAAAACGCGGACTTTTGGAAGTGAACCACTTACTACACAGATTTTCGATTGGGAATTAAGTGTCTTTTATTATAGTTACGTCAGTCCAACCTCAGGCACACGGGCCGTATGTGGCCCGAGGCTCGTTAACCTGCGGCCCCTGCAAACACATTTCAAAAATATTGCCATTTATAACTTGTCCAACCCTGTATAACTTTCAGTAATCTTACGAAAGTAGTTAACCTTGAACACCCACTCCCGATGAGCATGCAGTTAGCTTCAGTCAGCTGGGCGTGTCGTGTTGAATTAACAGTGGCGAATAAATTGAATGTTAAATTCAGAATGAGTAGTGCCAAAAAACGCAAAATTTTCGAAAAGAATCGTACGTTCCAAGGAAAATGGGAAAATAAATATTTCTTCATCAAATTAAAAAGCAAACCTCAGTGCATTATTTGATGTCAAGTACTCGCGGTATCAAAAGAATACAATATTAGTAGGCATTATCAAGGTGAAGCTCGCTACTCAAAAAACCATTTATAGATGTAGAAATGATCAAGCGGTGTGCCGTTAATGGCGCGATCCTTTGGAGATAAAAAGATGTCCAAAAATTTTGAATGTGTTTCAGTTTCCCATCAAACTGTATCTAGAAGAGTTGATGAGCTGAATACTCATATATTTAAAAAAACTGGTCGACACAGTTCGTGATTGTACTACTCCTTAGCCCTGGACGAATCTATTGATATTATTGACAAAAATCAACTATTAGTTTTTGTTGGATGCATCAGAAAAGATTTTTTAGTGTAACTGAGGAGCTTCTAAAACTGCACCACATCAAAGGTATAAATATATTTGAAGCAGTTAGTGACGTTGTGAAAAATATAGGCGGTTTTCAAAAGTACTGTTGGCTGGCCGGATTGGCTGGACTTTGCGGTAAAATGGTGTTAACTATGTTATGTTTCATTACATTATCCGCCAAGAGTAGTGATGGTCAGAATCGATTACTTATGGGAATCGGTTACCGTGGAATCGAGTACGAGTACAGTAAGGAATCGGATACTTTATTGAGTACTGAGTACGAGTACTGTAGCTATCAGATTTTTAATTAATAATGGGTTTGTCAATCTTTAGGTATCTATGATTTTTTAATTATTTATGTGTGTTTTGCGTATGTTTTTTTTTTTTTATAATAAATATAAGTTTTGAAAACAAATAAGATAGGTATCACAAAATGGACCAAAAATGTTTCTAATAAAAGAGTGTTTAAATATAATATTTGGTATAAATCAAGTAATTATTTAGCTAATAAAAAAACTCAAAAAGTATTCTTCTATTGTCTACAAAATAAAAAACAGTTTAAATATTAAATGAACATTAAAAATAGAAATTAAAGTATAAATAAAATAAAAAAAAACATTCTAGAATATATCACAAAACAAAAATAAAACAAAAACTACTTTAAAAATAAAAACTGTTTAAAAATATAATTTTGTCCAAGTTTTTTGGTAATAATCGGTTTCGACGATCGTTCGTTAATTGCCCTGTCTTCGAAAAGGCACTTCCAGATGGAACCGAGGTCCCAGAAACAGATAAATTCCGAATGACCCGAACATTACTGTAATTTACAACCTTCTATATTCGGCAGGTACCCAGTACTCAGTACTCAATCGGTTTCCAGTTCGAGTACTCGAGTACATTTGATTCTGTAAGGAATCGGATACTACTCGATTCCAGTATTCGAATACTCCCATCTTTAATCAAGAGGCTCTCTGCGGAAAGATAATTAAAATCAACGATATGAAAACTGTAGTGCAGATAGTTGTTTAAACAGCTTAAGAGGAGGAAGCAGAGCTCAGCGACACCGAAAATTCATCTCTTTCTTGGAAGAATTAAATACTGAATAAAGAACGTACCCCTACGTTCAGAGATACGCTGGTTGAGTGCAGGTAAATGCCTCAGAAATTTTTTTCTTTAAGAAAAGAGATCTTACTGTTTTTTGAAACGGAAAATGTTATTAACACGGACGTATTTATAACAAAGCTTAAGAACAAAACATTTCTTCATGAACTGGCATTTCTAACAGACATTACCTCTCACTTGAACACATTAAACCGACAACTCCAGAGGAAAAATAAGACAGTAACACAGTTGGTTGGTCAAATTGAGACATTTCGCAAAAAAAACTTGATCCTTTCGAGAACTGCATGAAAATAAACGACCTCACACATTTTCCTGCGTGTTTCGAAAGAAATCAAGAAGAACCATGGTTGATTTCTCGAGGTTTGCCAAAGTTCTTACAGAAATAAAAAGAAAATTCGATTAAAGGTTTTCGGAATTTGATGCACTAAAACCGGATCTTGGGCGTTTTAACAATCCAATAGGAGTCAACATTCAGAACCAATCAGCAGAATACCAATTAGAACTGTGCGAACTACATTCCGATTCGTTTTTTTAAGCAAAGGAAAATGAAGACATTAGTACCTTTTGGAAGTTAGTCTCCAAGGATCGTTTTCCTAAACTTCAAAACTTTGTTTTAAAAACTATATTTAATGTTTGGTAGTATGTATATATCTGAAATGACATTTTCTGCTTTGAAGCATTTTTTTTTCTTTGAACCTATTCTCTATCCTTCCATTGTTGGATATAGGTCTCCCCCAGTTCTCTCCATGTTTCCCTTTTTTTCCTATCTTTATGCTTTGAAGCATATTAAATCTAAAACACGTAGTCGCTTGGAAAACGATTCTCTGGAAGCCAGTATTAGACTCACTACGACTAGCATAGATATAGATGTGCAAAACTTAGAAGAGGACAAATATCCCATTGATTTTTTATTTTACGTTAAATTTTAAACATAAAATGTAAATTGTAAACCATAATAAAATACTCGTAAATAATATGTCGTTTGTATATTCTTTTTTAAAATAAACTTTTTTTGAACGTGTCGAGTTCTCTGGCCCTTCATAATAATTTCAAATTTAATACGTATTCATGTGTCCCGTAAATGTTGTTTCTGAAAGGTTCAGGATACAAGATATTTAATAAATTTTACTCAGAATGTCGAACATAAAAGGAAAGATCTACTTACCTTAAAGTCTGGTCCCCCAATGCTCAAATTCAAAACATTAATCTTCTTCAAAATAGCATAATTAAAAGCGTCTAGGAACCAGGAGGTGTACGACACCTGGTTATTGGTAAACACTCGAAAGATATGTAGTTCAGCATCGGGAGCGAAGCCCAAGCACTCTTTGCTGGACGCTATAACCCCAGCAACGAAGGTACCATGTCCGAGGCCGTCGTCGTAGGTTTTCTCGTTCGTCCAGTTGGTGCGTTCTTTGATTTTTCTGAAATGGGGATGATTTTTGGAGAGTCCCGTGTCGAAGATTGCTACTTTTACTCCTTTTCCTATAATAAATAAAAGACGGTGTTTTTAAGTCGTCAAGAACTGTGAAAACAGTCCTTAACAGCAATTTGTAGCATGCGAATTGAAGCGATGATATTTTATTGGCATTTTAATAAAACAAACATAAAGTAATCACTCAGTATTAAGTCTGGAATGTAAAGAGGAGTTCTATAAAATATTTCCACTTCAGATACGTCCAGCAGACCTCCACATGAAAGCAAGGCTTAGTATTGTTGCCGAGAGGCGTCGATAGGGCTGGAATGGCCCATATCTGGCTCAGCGGTCTTCGTTCGATCCTGAGAGTTGGATCCGGAGGTAGTGCGGGTGTCTACCATCTTCTCAAGGTGCGGTTCTCGGGGTTGTATGTGTAAGGGTACAAATACAGGCAAAAACAATGGCTCGTGTTTGATCCTCACGGAAATATCACAAGCCAATGAGGTTGTATACGTTCGAAATAATATAAGAATAATAAAAGAACAGATATATGGTCTTTATACAAGAATGTGATGTAGATAATGTAAGAAATAAACAAAAATGCAAATAAATGGAAGATTGTGTGCACCAATCGAAATACAATACCATATAATAAATAAAAGAACATAGGGTGGTATTTCTTGACTTACGGAAGAAATACCGATACAAGTCTTATGTCTCCTTGACTTACGGAAGGAGAAAAAGACACAAAGCAATAATAAAATAGCAATAGAAAAACACAAATAAAGGCGTGTGTTTCAGACGCTATACCTCAAAGGTTTCCGTGAGAAACATACGAATAAAACAGATAAATTGGAGGATTGTCAAGTGTTTTTAATTACACAAGAATATATCCTCCGACGAAAATAATAAAATGGCAAATAATAATTGTCAAAATAAATGCGTATGTTTCAAACGCTATACCTCAAAGGTTTCCGTAAGAAACATACAAAATAAGAAAATATTTGGAGGATTGTCAAGTGTTTTAACTACACAAGAATATATCCTCCGACGAAAAAATAATTAGCACAATAAAATGGCAAAACTAAATGCGTATGTTTCAAACGCTATACCTCAGAGAGGTTTCCGTAAGAAACGTACAAAAACAAAGAAAGTATCAATTTAAAATATCAATAATGACATGCACAAAAATATAAAATAGAAATAGAACAATATGCGTGGTTCAGAGGAGACTGTCTTGAAAAAGACAGTCAATTTCTTACATGAACACAAAAATACCAGGTGTATTTTCTCTGTGTATGACCAGAGGAATAACACAGCAGAAAATACAGAAAATACATAAAAATGCACACAAAAATCAAATATAAAATCAATATATAAAAACAGTAAATAGGTAAAAATAATAGGCAGATTCTAGGTGGGTATAATACCGTACCTAGAGTCTTCTGATTACGAGGTTAACTCGAACTGGCCGACTACAGAAAATCCACCTTCTTTTATATCCAAAAATCTTTTGTTCTAAGGGATTATGACGTAGGAAAGTGGACTTCCCGTAGAATCGGCCAATGGGAAATTTTGAATTGCTCAAAAGTTGCAATAACCCCTATTCCAACCAATGAACAATTTTTCCCATGTCAGATGTTTCTCGTACGCTGATTGGTGCGTTAATGATCGCTCCAGAGAACAGTATATAGAAGAATGACATTATTTGAACAATTTGAAGACAAATAAAAAACTCACCGTTACCATTACAATGACGTCAATAACACGCTGATCAATTGCTTTTTCATATACCAGAATATACCAGAAAACATGATGGTAGTGAGTGAGAAATTGAAACTTAGATATTTAAAATTGAACGGAAATGTGTCTTACCTGTAATACCCATATTCCAAAGAGAGTCTGCCTGTAAAACAGATGTTATCTGCCGAGGAATGGCCCTCAATAACCTCCTGTTGGTATGCCGGAATTGAGATTTAGTGTTAAGGTTGGTCCGCCCGATTCTCACATAAGGACTGATTTTCAGCGTCCTAGAAACCATTCGTTGAGCAGTGACTCTCTTGATAGCGGGATGGTCGTTTAAGGCGTTCAGACCTTCCAATTTGTCGTTGTCTTCTATGATAACTACGTCGAAATCGCTCGGGTATTCGCTAGCTGGGTTTTCTCGGCTCAAGATCTTCCATTTTTTTATTCCTGATGCGTTTAAAGCTGTGTTAATGTAGTTTTCGCGTGCGTTGCTTTTGTAGTAAGCGTTGAACATTACTATATATTCATTTTCGACTATTTTTGATGTGTAATTGAGTTCCACCTATAATAAAAAAGGAATTTATAACGACAACGAAATTGTCAGTTAAGTTCGAAGAATTTGTACCCCTAGTAAAGGATCTAACACTAACATATCAAAAAAGAAAACACCATGGTTTATGTCATTTTTGAAGATCCATCAACTCGTTCGTTAACCAGTCCAAAATAAAAATAAAATAAAAACAGTGGTACCTTTTGATGACTTGAATCTACTAACTCCCAATTTGACTAAAATCGTCGATTATTGTCTGATTTTTCAATTTAGTCCTACTTTCGCTCACTATTATTTGTAATACACTTGCAATTTAAACAAATAGTCAAAGTTTCATCTTAACTGTATTTTTGAAAATCCAGGAACGGATTCATTAACCAATAGAGTAGAGTATTTATTTAACTGCATAACAGATACAAATATTGTAACAAAGATTTCAAAACATCCCATATTCAAACAGTTTTTATATTGGTGGAGATGCGTAGATGACGTACTGGTATGTTTCACAGAAACTAACAGGCAACTCGACCAATTTTTATCGTATATTAATTCACTTCATAGTCATATTGAATTTACAATAGAAACAGAACAAAATTAATCCATAAACTTTTTAGATTTAAAAATTAGCAGACTTCAAAACAAACATGACTCCTCCATATTTCATAAACCTACCCATACTGACACGACAATACCAGAACATACAAGGGTTTTCAATAATAGAAAAACAGATTCTACATACGCACTTCACCTTCTAGATCCTAATCATTCTTTTAATGACGAATTTAAAATTCTTCACATTCAAAATAAAGGCCTTAAGCTATCTTTGTTATAATCTATGGAAATCAATAAATTAAAAAACACAGATATAATTTTGAATGACCAACTTGAGACAAACATTTCTCCCTCCTCAACCTATTTCATAAAAGACTATAAAGTGTAAACACATGCCATGAATAGATCACTCGAGAAAAACAATCAACTGAAACAGCTGTAGTGATAAGATTATATAATATATTTTTGTGAAAATTTTGAAGAAAAAGTTTTCAGTGTTTTATTGTTATGGTCGGCACGTAATTTCGTGAGAAAATTTACAGAGCCCAAAGCAGGCCAAATACTAGTAAAATGGCAACGCTGTTAGAGTTACCACTATTTTATTGTAGTACATAGTAGTAGAACAGTAGCGTAGATATCTAATTTTAAATTAAATAAAAGTTTTTTACTTTTATTTAATTTTATTTACCAAAAAGTTTTATTTTCTATAAAGTTTAAATAAAAAAATATCGGTGTTTTTAACTTCTGTGATATATCTTGGGAGTGATAACACTAATCGACTCGACTGAACAGAACTTATTGTAAAATAATGATATCTATATAAAACATTGTTAATATTAGTAGTTATTCAGCGAGAATGACAGTGACAGTTTCAGTTGACATACTCCCCTAAAACATTAATAATTTTTGTCCTATGAAGAAGTGTGTTTATACCCTGTTTTCAAAGATATATAAGCAAAATGAGAATATCTACAATTAATATAGATATAAAGGTTTCAACTAACACCTAATAAGTACTTACTATCTACTCAGAATCACTGTTATCGCTAGTATCACTCGTATCATCTAAATTTATAGGTAATTTGGTTAATGCTGGTAAATATTTAACATAGTCATTTTCCACTCCGATCACATGTTTTATTTTTATTACATTTTTCCAGTTGGTTGCTGTATTTTTGTGACTTCTCTTCTAATTAACTGGAGAACAGTAGACAAAAAATTTTGGAGCATCGTTTATTCTCATTATATTTCCTTTAAGTTGAGCCCATATTAACTCTATTGGGTTCAATGTACAATAATAAGGAGGAAGTCTAAACACAGTATGCCCGTTACTACGAGCACAATTGTCAACAACATATTCCTTTTCGTACTGTTGACTATGAACAACCTCCAACAATTGCTTTTTAATATAAGATATCTCAAAACACAAATCTTCCGTGAATAAAAATTCCTGAATTTTTAATTTGTTCCAACTATTATTTGAAATTTTTTTCATTAATCTTGAATGATATGATGCGTTGTCCATGATAATCACACTATCTTTAAGAAATTTCGGAAGAAGACATTTTTCAAACCATGATTCAAAAATTGAACTTTCCATATCGTCATGATAATCCAGAGACGCGTTTTTAATTTGTTTTGCAGATATTAATAATGCATCGTCGACCTATCCATTTTCTCCAAAGCAGTGTAAAATTATAATCCTCTTTCTTTTATTGGGCGGTACTGAGTTGAAACACTTTTTGTTATTATTTGTCCAACTTTTTTTCACGGTTTCATGAGTATCACACCAAGTCTCATCTAAATAAACAATATTTCGTTTCATTTTTCGATACTCAGATATCTGTCTGATATAATTGTTTCTTAAAGAAGTTATTCTAGTACTTTCTATTAATGTCTGTCTCTTGTCTATAGTTTTGTACTTAAAATTATTGGCTTTAAGAAATAATCGAAGTGTTGTTGCTGAATACGAGAGAATGCACTTTCGAACTAATTCACTTCGAAAGCTTTCAATAGTTGGAAAAATATTAGCCGCATACATTTGGTATATTGTTCTAGTTATAGATTCAATTAAGTGCGGTTCTATTTTCTTGAATTTGCCACAATCCTTTCTCTTCTGTCTAGAAGAAGATGTTTCTCCTATAATTTTGTAGCAGGTTGCTTTGGGCACTCTGGTTAAAAAACATGTTTCTGCAATTGCCTCTGATTTAGACAATTCAGCACAGTCCTTCATAAACATTTTTTAGCATACGATTGGCATCATCAGAAAGGTATTGAAAATGTCGCGTAAGTTTTACTACACGCCTTTGTAAATCTTCCAATCGATTAGAGGGTTCCATTGTCTCTTCAGCTACATAATTATTATCGCACCACGGACGCAATATTTTAAAATTATCAAACGTATAAAAAAATAATCACGTAAAAACGTATCAAAAAAAGTAAAAAACGTAAAATATAAAATGTTTTCCGTATAAAGAACACTGAAAAAAGTCACTACCAAACTAACTTGCGGTTCACTATTTGAAATTTGAATTTAACTGAACGCTGTAGCAGTTATGATTTTACTAAAAATATTCTTGTCTCCCAAAAATCTGTTGGTCATCTCCGCACTTTAAAAATAAAATATTATAAAAATTTGCCTACCTAAGTTTTCCCCGTCCCGTGCCTTCGGCACTGGACGGTCCAAATTTGATCCCTTATTTTATAACTCCGTAAGCTCAGTCAAATACTGATATAATCTTACCCCAAGTATGAATAAGTCTACCGACATTATGATTTGTCATAGCGATTTGAACAGCGATATCAGATGTTTTCATTGGGCGTTAGTCCACGTGGACTTATTATAAGTTCGATGAAAACTTAATTGGTTGATTGTTCATATCTGGTTCATATTTTAAAAGATTATACCAGGCACGTCTGAATGTTAATATCGAGTGGAATCTGGAAACTTTGTATTATTATACGTCTGAGTCATTGATAATTTTACAGACTCCTGGTAGAGTACCTTTTTGTTGAATGATTTTATTACCCTACATATATTTTTGCACAGTCTCACGGAAATACGAGGCTACTATACGTGTATATTATTATTTCAAATAACTTTGAAATGAAAACAAATTCTCTATGACGAATATGTACTTTATCTTGTTTATTCCTATTTAAAATATTGTTTGATCACCCTGTATTACTGCAAACCATTTATTTTTATTATTACAGCTATTACCGTTAACAATACTTTGTTTATGACACCCGTAAGTTAAAATACCTCTTCAATAATCCAAACTGGAAGCAACAATTGGGACTAATTGATGTTTTCCAAATGGCCGTCATTAACCTATAACCTTAAACATTCTGATAATGAGAAGTGAAGCTATTAGTAAAAAATGTAGTTTTGGTGCATTAAACGATTTCTAACAGACAGCTAGACCACTAGTCGACTTTAAAATGACAGAAGCCATACCACTTATAAACGTCGGAAATCATGCGTTAACAACCACCATCGTCCCCAAAGAACAATCAACTCCTGTAGTACATCAGCCGCCGTGGTCGTACAACAATACCAGGGTGAAAGTGATGCCTGAAGACTTTTCTGGATTTCAAGACAAACAAAATGGTTTGGATGCACAACAACCCCATGTTATCGGCGAGTTTCATGAACGATTCGAGATCCCAGTTGAAAATAGAAGGAACGAGAAGAAAGATGATACTTTATTATTTCTGTCGGAGTGTTTTTGTGTTTTTTGTGATTAATAGAACGAGAATTTTGTGATTGTTATGTAAAAATAGTGTCCAAATTTATACCGATTTATATGAAATGTCTTACTGTTTTCGAAGGTATGTGAATTATATAATTTGAAAGAGTTGTATTGTGACTAATATATCAATTTTTAAATAAATTCTATATTTCGCGTTTTAAATATTATTATTATCATTCATGAACAAGAACCTATTAAGAAAAAAAATAGAGAAATTAGATAAATTTCATACTTTGATCACTCGACATAAAATATAACTAATAGACAAAATAAAACAAAAAATGTAATCCAAATGAGCAAGCCTTACTAATAGACTACAGAATAGAAATATGCTTTATTGTCCCAGAAAATTGTACAATTTTATAGACAAAACTTACATAAAGTAAAAAAAGTAACAATTAAAATTTACTAAAATTACACAAATCGTCAATATCACAAAATAAAACATAATAAAATATACAATTTATTGCAAAATTTTAATTGCAAATTGCATAATAAAACCTTACGAACTAGTTTACGAAAAATATTAAGCTGCTGCAAGTGATACCCAAATACATATAAAAATATTTTGTTGCTTGTACCTAAATGTACTGTAATTTCTTAGTTATTCGTTAAGAAACTCTTCCACTGAATAATATGGTCTTTCAGATAGATAGGTTTTTGTCAATTAAGGAACTTAAGAAAAGAAGTTGTAGAATTAAGTTACAAAGTGAGATGGTTGTATAATTTTTTTGTCGAATATAATATACATTTTTTTTACTAATTAAGTGGACGAGATCGGTAAAGACACATCAAAGCTTGAATTTTTGGTGAAATAGTCATGACTAGGTCTTGCTGGAAAAACATGTAGGTGTTTACATATTAAGGAAACAGTTTCTAAAACATATAAAGAGGGAATAATTAAAATCACATGATTTTCTAAGTAGCTTCTGCAATGTGTTATTCCATTGCAGATACTGTATTGATATTTTTCTTAATTAAAAAATAACATCAGATTGGGCAGTTGTACTGAACCCCAAAAATTAAGGCCATATCGAAGATGAGACTCCAATAAAGAAAAGTATGTTATTTTGGAAGATGCTAAATTGATTTCCTTCGAAACAGATCTTATTGCACAGCAGTCATTTCACATGCTTGTTGACTTAGAAACGTTGTACATTTGAACAGTTTATATTCTTCATGACACACCACACAGGTTATCTTCTTCTTTACTTGTTGTCTGTGATCTGTTCCTTTCCTTTCTGTTTACAACATCTCCAATGTCTGGAATCTTCTTTGTAGGAATTCCTATGTTGACTTATATGTCAGAATGTCCCTACTGTCTTGCATTGACGTTTCATATAAATTCCTGGTTTCTGTGTCCCACTTTAACATGCTTATCCTTGCTATAAGAGGGCTCCAGGACTCTGTCATTATACCTAGTCCACTAATGGCTTCTAAGTATTCGTGGAGAGTATCATGTAATGTTTTCAGTGCCTTTGCTGACATTTCTTTTATCTCCGCAGCCTGAAGTATATTGTCTATTAATATAAATAGATTCATCCTTGGATTATTGTACCGATCTTGCAACATTTTCCAGGCAGCACTGTATTTTACTTCTGTTGTGTTTAAAAACTTGCTTCTTGGAGGCTTGTCTTCAGATACTGCATTTTTCCACATTTGATAGTTGGTTATTCTCATGTATCAAACATTTAAAAATATCATAGAATGTTACCCAGGATTCATACCTTCCTTCAAAATAGGGTAACTTCACTTATGGAAATATTTGATGATCGACAGCACCCTTCTTTTCATTGTATAAAATCTTTCTATTTCACCTTCTTCTAGTGCATCCTGTTCATTGTCCAGTTATTTCGTAAATACTTCCCTTGTAATACTTTAAAAAAGGGGTACAGAGTCCCCCTGTACCATCAGGTACAGTACTGCAAAAAGTAATCTGAATAAAGCTCCAAAACTATGTATATAATTGCTTTACACTATGAAATTGCTGTAAATGGTGCCAAAATTTTCCAAAAATCATCCAATGGCCCCTTAAAAATGTCCTATGGGCTTGTAGTCTACAAGGCATATAGGTACCTCAAAAGAATACACAACCAACAAAAAAAAGCAAAATTGTTTAAAAATATGTAAAATATATGTTTATTGACTTGGGAGTATAAAAATATAAGTTTTTGTGAAAGTTCAACCACCTGATATTAGTAAACAAATTGACCTAAACACATGTTAGAGATCTATAAATGTGATAGTACATAGTGACTGTTGGTATGCCTCAAGAAGAATATTATACTTTATTTACACAAAATTCAAATATTTCTTCTATTTCTTTCTAAAATCATTGTACTTTCAAGTGTACACTGAAGACTTTCAGAGAACCGATTGGAATAAAGACGATCAGAAATGTATCCATATATATTACCTAGTGCAAAATCCTACTAGGTAAATATATAAATAAAATTGATAATCGGTAAGTATTAAAGTTGATTTTCAAACATTATCTGTCAAAATAGATAACATATCATTAGAAAACTACACTTTTGTCTATTAGTAAAAAACACTAACAAAAATCTTATTACTTGTGTCTTGATTTTCTTGTCAATTATTACAAAAATAGATACTGTATGGAAATTTTTTACATAGGAAGTGGGTAAATATTAAATAATTAATATCATAATATCGAGTAATAATAGCTAAATATCTAGATCGCACATTATTGATTGCTTCTCATCATTAACAACAAAAACTTACCCTTTCTGTGGTGAGATTGCAGCATAAAGGGGACTCTATGAAATCTTCTGTGACTGTTTCATTTTCGTTTTTGCTCAGAGCTTCTGATGTGATTGTGTGATGCGTAAATAAATATGCGATTGTGAATGTATAAAGGGTAAAAGTAATTATCTTCATTTTACAGTTTTCCACTTTCTTTTCCTGCGATTCATTTTAAACCATTCGAAACGCTTCGCTTATAGGCTTGAATCTTTATGAATGGGTTCTCATTTTTACGTAGTCGCTTTAATTATATAAGGAATTTATTATTCATTATTTTTCAATTAAGCCACAATGTTGATATTTTTATGAGGTTTTCAATTCAATGACCAAATGTCAGACATTGACATGAGTGACAGGAACAGAAGTCAGGCTTTTAACTTGGTACCACTATGTAGGCAACTTACATTACGACATTACAAAAATAAAATTGCCCAAATACATCCATAATAATTGAGAAATAATTATCGATATGTGTATTGTAAAAAAGAGCTATGATAAATAAAAATGATAAAGAACACTGTGAATATATTCAGAAGGTAATACAGCTGTATTTACTATTAAATGATGTAAAAATTATATTCCTTTTGTCCATTTTAGTTAGAGAAAAAGCTTTCTTTTTGAAACCATATATGAGTAAGATTCTATTTCATTACTTTAAATGTTTGCAATTTTCTGTTTATTCTATATTGCTTATTTACATATTTTTTGTATGAGTTTTTTATATATAGGAGTTTACTTTTTTTTGTTTTTAATGCCTCAACCGAATAATGTATACGTTCTAAAATATTCCATTCAGGCAGTATAGTTGTTTTGTGTTTTTGAATATGTTCCTAAATCCCTCGTCGTAAAGCTCCAACTGGTAGTTTGGGACTTGCAACACCTTCGGGCTGGATGAACAACAAGTTTGTTTTTAGAAGTTATGCGTCATTTCGTAAACCATACAAAGTCCTCAATCGAAAATCCAACATTCCTGTTGTTCGATAACCACGAAAGTCATCTTTCAATTGAATGTGTGGATTTGGCCAAATCCAATGGAGTGACTATTTTAACCTTTCCTCCCCATTGCAGTAATAAACTACAACCATTAGATGTTGGCGTTTATTTTTTATTTAAGGCACACTATAACAGAACTGTCGACTCTTGGCTCATGCATCACCTCGGAGTTCCAATGATTCCGATTAATATTACATCAGGATTCCGTTAATCGGGTATTTTTCCTTATGATCGGGATGTCTTTGCAGAAGACCATCACAGATCGGCCTGAACAGTCAACATCTTCAAATGGTACTGTCGAATCTCTAGTTTCAGATTCCTGTACAAATGACAAACTTGGGGATTCTACTTCGAATCTTGATACTGTGATAACAACTCTTACTATTAACCACGATTCTGAAGCAACCGTCATGACAACAAAATCGTTTTCAAGCCCTCGAGAGTTTCGAGGCTACCCCAAAGCTGCTCCAAGAAAATAAGTGCAGAACTGAAAACGCGGAAGAAGTTTCATTCCAACAGATACTCCAGAAAAATTTGAACTTCAAACAAAGAACGCCGAAAAACGGAAAGCTAGAGCTAAGACAGTAAAAAAACGATTTATCGAATACGAAAATAGTTCTTCAAGTGACGAAGCAGAACCTCTGAATATGATGCCGACCTTGGTGCTCCAATAACAGGATTCGAAGAACTGGATAGAAATGTAGTCATTGATAACTATGTTCTTGTAAAGTTCGCAAGCAAAAAGTCAGTAAAATATTTTATTGGCAAAATTTTGACTAATCTTTCCGATGATTTCGAATATGAATTCAATTATCTGAGAAGAAAAAATAAACCGAACATGTTCTTTTATTCAAATGTTCCTGAAGTTGCTACTGTTTTATCGCAAGACATAGTGGGGATTTTACCTGTACCAGTGTTATATGGAAAAACAAAGAGGCAAAATAATTGTGTTCAGTTCGAAGTGAATTTTGGCGCAGTACATGCTCAATGAACGATGTCTCGTTGTGGACCACTGTGTGCCTCAGTGCGGACCACCGTGGGACACAGTGAGACACTTTGCAATGTCAAAAAGAGTTTTTTTTTCGACTTATGTTTTCAAGTTCAAATATATTTCTGTTGTGTATTTTTGTAAAATAAAGCCCAATTTACAGGATTATTTGTTTGTTTTCAATATAAATCGAAAAAGTTGTGAAAAAATCTCCAATGACTAGAAACCGTCTCACTGTGAACCACTCTTCCCTTCTATAAGTAATATTTTGCCGACTCAATAACTTTTACGTTTGTTTAAAATTTCATTATATTTCGGCATATTTTTTCAACTAAAACATTTTGTCGGACGCCAAATATACCTTTTGTTTTTTAAATAGATTTTACATGATTTAGTAAATGTTTATGTTCTTAAAAACCTCAAAGATTACCTTAAAACCGATATCTACGCAACCGATAAATGTCTTTGTACTACCGGAATCTTTTAAGTCCTGCTAGAAGAATAGATCATATAAAAATCGTTGGATTCTTCTGGCAGGACATAACGTCTATCCAACTGTCCTGCCGAAAAAGACTTCTTTCAGGACAAACAACTGGGCGATCTTTAAAACAACTACTAGCAAAACAAAGACAATAATTATTAGTAAGAGAAATAATTTATTACCAGAGATAAGAATATACGCAAATAAAGAATGTTTTTGATTCAATCAGTTTATTTTGTACCATTCTATTAAAATTTCATTAACCCATAGATCTTAATAGAATCTTAATATACGTAACCTCTTACATAACCAAATTAAAATGTTAAAATATATTAATACGAAATTACTAATTGCCTTTTTGATTGCTATAATTTTCATTTTATAACAGTCGTTACGTAACCCAACACAGGTACCTGCAAATGCGTGAAGATCGTAACAGCTTACTGCAGGAATTTCTTCGGCTCGCGTTGGCAACCCTGCTGACCTCGTTGATTGTTGCCCAGAGCACCTTAGATGTACAGCAAAATACTTTAACTTGCATATCTACTTTCTTTTATCAGATAATTGTTAACCGTGTGTACTGGTATTATGCAGTGGCACATGTCCCACATGAAAATGGGAAATTGGTTTTTAAAGAGACAATGACGAAAAACAACAGTGAAATTTTTAGGTTACCATTAATGTTTATCCCTAGTCTTTTACTAAAAGCGAAAGGATAATGTTAAGAGCTTTTAACTAGACGAAGCAATTATTAAAGAGCACTGCAAGTGATTCCTGCACACAAATGTGAAATATCTCTTTGATATAATTTGTGGAATATATTTACTTTAAACCACAAAAGTATAAGGAATATTATAAAAAAAATGCTATATATGAAAGAAAAAACACATTATGATAAAGAACATCGATCAAAATTACAGTATGAGAACGAAATAGGAAGTTTTAAAGAAAGAAATTAAAACCCTCCAAAAAGGAAATGAAGTAGCAGTGAAATGGATATACAATATTTCGTAAAGACAGGGAATATCGTGTGGGTGGCGGTGTATGCATTTATTTATCTAATATTATTGCCACAACTTTCAAAATTAACATTAAGCTAATAGAAATTATTGGAATAGATGCAATTCACTTATCTGTTAATAAAAATAATTTTTGCCTTAATTTAGTATGTATATATCGTCCACCTACTACACTACTTGCTCACGATAATGTTTTCTTCACAAAACTTAAAGAACTATCATCTCCTGATAATTTTATCATTACTGGAGATTTTAATTTCCCAGAGATCACCTGGCCAATAACTTCATTATCTGACGCCGAAAACGCTCATCATTTATTTAAAAATTTTGTAGTTAATTCAAACCTGATACAACTTATTACAGAACCTACTACACTTAGAAATAATAACCAACCTTCTATTTTAGATCTAGTGCTAATTAATAACGAACAGCTGATTTCATCTCTCGAAGTCAGTTTTCCTATAGGAAAGTCAGATCATGCAGTTATAACGGCTCACGTTCAGTTCAATCAAATACTACTCCGCAAAAATTGCATTTTCCATTTCTCGATAAAGTCCACAATATAACTTCGACAAATACCACTTTCCGTAAGAGTTATAAAAACAACCTTAAACCCTAGATAAATCGAACAGCCATTAAACAAATTAATCATAAGCGACATCTACGCCGAAAACTTAAACACACCGGACTTCTTAGTGATTTCCAAAACCAAAGCAGATTTTAAAATAACTTAAAAACATCTCTAAAAACTCTAAGACAAAATTTTGAAGCAAATGTTATTGAAAGTGGTAACATTAAAAGGTGAGGGACTGGAAAAGAAAAGCACAAAATAGAACCGAATGGAGAAATATTGTCCACCAGGTCCTTCAGAGTAGTTAAGAATGTTGTATATACATATTTAAGTTAAAGTTTTGTTTAAAATAATTGTATTTAGTTAATATTAGGATTATGTTTAAAAAAAATGCCCTAGGCCTTAACGGCCTGTTGTCTTCTTCTTCTCGTGCCACTCCTAGCGGAGATTGGAAATCATCATGGCCACTGCGACTTTGTTAGCAGCGCGCCTAAAAAGTTCAATCGAACTACACCCGAACCATTCACGTAGATTACGAAGCCACGATATTTTTCTTCTTCCCACACTTCTTTTGTCCTTAATTTTGCCCTGCATGATGTTTCTTAAAAGTTCGTACTTTTCACCTCTCACAATGTACCCCAAGTATTCCATCTTTCTAGTTTTTATCTCATTTAGAATTTCGCATCTTTTGTCTGAAGTTTGGAGTACTTGCGTGTTAGTGACGCAGTCCATCCATGATATTCTGAGAATGCGCCTATAGCACCACATCTCGAAAGCTTCAATGTTTTTTATGGTCAACTGTTTTAGGGTCCAAGCCTCAACTCCATATAACAGGGTTATATGGAGTTAAAGACAGTTAAAGACATAACACCGCAGCATTCGTATTCGTAACTTTATATTAATATCACGATTGCAAAAGAGTTTGCGCATTCTATTAAAGACTGATCTAGCGATTTCTATTCTACATCTAATCTCTTTTGTTTGATCAGTATCGTCTGTGATCAAAGCACCTAGATATTTATAACAGGGCACACGCTCAATCGTTGTATTGTCTATTACAAGATTAGCTCTGATGTTCTTTGA